AACATATGTCAGCAGAGCAGGATAAAAGCCTAATAAAAACATATCTGATTATAAATGAGATTTTCCACTAAGTTGCTTTTCACTAGCTGAGGTACTTGCTATTGTCCTTGAAAACCTAGGTTCCCAAGGATCTACGTGAGAAGTTAAGATAGCTCCTCTTGACAAAGGAGTCTGGATCCAGGGGGCATTATATAATTTTGTGGATTTTTCAGATGTTCATTTTAACCATCCCATGTTCCTAAAAAATGCCCTATTTCTAACAGTTTTATAGATGCTTGTGCTCGTGACTGTATCATCCACACACATACACATATAGATGCTAAAAGAAGCAGTTATATGGGCAAACTTATTTGCAAAGCACAGTGAATTTCCCATCACTGCTGTGTAATGACTGTCATGAAGGAGACAGTCAGAAACACGCCACCCGCGGCTATGAGCCACCAACCCAGCTCCGGCCTCTTGCAGCTATTCTTTGGAGGATCCTCTTGTTAATGATGAACCTCTGTCTGGAGTTGGCTTTGATTGGAGCAGCCTCTGAGGCTGTCACATCTCATGAGGGCTGGCAGCGAAAAGTGAGCATAAACTCACAACACCAAAGGCTTACTGGCCCCAATGGCTTGTACTACACATAGTTTACCAAGATTATCTCAGAAGCTAGAAGTGGGAGGCTGGGGCATTGGTACCCACACAGATCTGCCCATAATCACTTTACCTTGAGTGTCCTTAGCTTTAAAATGAGAGTATAGCAGATTTCTCTCAAAACTTCCATACAGCCCTCACAGTCTAACTATAATAAACTCAAACACTGAAGTCATTCTATGACCCAGCAATTTTATATATACATATATACGTGTATTCACACATATTTATGCAAATACTTTCATATGCAGACACACACATATGTACACACACAGAACTCACAAATTCACAAGGAGACCCATGTGCAAGGTTGTTCATTGTAGCATTATATGTAATATCAAAAAAATTGGAAAGAACCTAAATTTTCATCATCAGGAAATTATGAAATAAACAGCAGGGACCGGGGATTTAGCTCAGTGGTTCTACTGCCTGCCTTGCAAATGCAAGGTTCCCAGTTCAATCCCCAGTACCAAATAAATAAATAAATAAACAGCAGTATTAAAATACACGCAGTACTATACATCGGTGAGAAGTAATGGCATGAATTATAAATAGTAACATGGATGACTCTCACAAATATCCAATGGAAACAGCAAGTCACCAAAGCATATGTACCCTATGATGTTATTATCTAATATTTTAAGACATGCAGAGCCATACTATGTACAGCTTCCATAGCACAGTAATATTATAAGGCTATGTGAAGCTTAGGAGAAGGTCATGTTATGGTGGGCGGGAGGGACAGTAACTGTGCAGAGATGCCCAGGCCTGACAGCACTGGTACAGCTTTACTGTAAGCTGGGTCATAGTTGAAAGCTCTGTTTCTACTGTGTAATTTTTATACCTTTTAAAATATTGCCAGGTGTGATGGCATATGTCTGTAATCCCAGCACTCAGGAGGCTGAGGCAGGAGAATCGCTGTGAGTTTGAGATCAGCCTGGACTACATAGTGAGTTCAAGGCCAGCCTGAACTGCATAACAAGACCCTGTCTCACACACACACCCAGAAATCGATAAATAAATAAAAATAAAATATATTAAATATGCATAAAATTTTTGTTACGTGAGATTTATACATCACCACTTCTAAATCTTTCTGCAGCCTTATGAAACTGATTCATCCCATCTCCTGATCAAGAAGGTCTTTTTTCAGGAAGTTTTAAAATAATTGTAATGTACCTCAGTTTAAACTTTAAAACATCTATTCAGCTATTCATGTGACCACATATATTTCCGAATAGATGGGGGATATTGTTTCATCAACTTGTGTTTAAGACTGCTTGTGTTTAACTTGATAATATTATGGTAGGCAAGAGTGTTCCTTTACCTTCTGAAGTCATAGCCAAACCTTGGGATGGTACAGCAAAGAAAATTTATTGAAAACTGGCCACACTTTTGTCAGTGGAGGGAAAATCAAATCAATATGCCACTTTTTTATGTCTTAAGAAAAGATTCCTCTCATCTCTCTTCTGTCTACCATTCCCTTGGGGTAGTGGCTATTCCCTTTCTTCCTGATATGATGGAGCTTAGTATCGTTAATGTCATGAGGAACCTATGATTGACTTTGGCTTCCATTTATTTAGGAGGTTTATACCAGAAATTCTAGCTATTGAAGTTTCCATCATTTGGGATTTTATCCCTATGATGCTGTTCAGTTGTCGAGTCGATGATTTGCCTTTTAAAAGAAGGGATTTGTTTTCTGCAGTGATTAATTAGCGCTTAGGGAATATGCCTCCACTTTGCATCGAAGATGTTATGCTCTGTACACTGAACATTCATAGATATAACAATAGTTAGCGGAAGCCAGTTGTGTTCTTATTTCATATAACTCGGTTCCAGTTAGAATCTAGTCAGCAAGAATCTGACAGGGCTTTCCTTGAATAGCTAGTGTGTTGTTTTTGTAACTTAATTTCTCCGAATGGCAACTGTGAAGCCCCTAGAACAAATCATTTGCATTCTTTCATCAATTTATCAAGTATTTATTGAGTTTCTACTACATGTCAGACACTATTGCGGCACTGGGGATTTAGGAATGAACAAAGACAGGCCAGCCTCTGTCCTTAGAGAGCTTACATTCTGATGATTACTTGGAATAACTCCAAGGGTGGCAAGGATGATATCTGACAGGCTCTTTCAGAAAGCTTTCCATGAGCCTCCAAGTTAAGTAACCCCCTCTGCCCTCCCAGAACACCTGGCAGATCTTAGCTGCTCGGAGCGGTTGTCATTCCATCAGGGGGCTCTTGTACCCCAGCTCTGCCACTCACCAGCTGTGAGGCTTGGGACCAGGTAAACGTAAGTATCCTTCCTGAGCACCTAATTTTCCAAGCGCTCCAATAAGTGTTTTATGTTTTATTTAACTTTTGTACCAAACCATCAAGGTTGTATTCTTTTTTGAATAAGAAAATTGAAGGCCAACAAGACTGAGTAATAGCCAGAAACACAAGAAGGACCCAAGAGATGTTGGGTTCACCAGAAGCGAAACTAGAGTGAAGCAAGTGAGAGCATTTGTACAAATGTGGGGTCAGATATTGTCTGTATTTAAAATTTTTGTTCACCATGTTGGTGGGGTTTTTTACATTTTTTACTAATATTACTTATCTTGGCATGCATTTAAATTTTGTGCCCGTGGTGAGATCCTCCCTTATCTCACTCTAGTCCCAGCATCTGTAGTGGTATCATTAGTATGGCATTGGAAGGGGGAACTACCTACTTATTTATTGTTTGCCCCCGCTAACCTCTAGGACATTCAAGAGCAGTACCCATGTCTTATGCCTATAAAACCTAGAGTGGTCTCGGCACACAGTACGTATATGTTCAATAAATATTTGTCAAACTCACCTTTCCGCTCCACAATAATTTAGAAGACTAATTTCTATTCAGCGAAAGGAGAGAACCTCAATCTCCTTAGATACTCTTTAATTCATTATGTATTATGAGTAGCAATACTATTAATATTATTTTTGTATTAAACACAATGCTCGGTGCCAAACACTTAACACACATGTCTCAAATTCTTACTACAAACTGGACACTGAGGTTCACCACTACAGAGTCACTTGCCCAGAAGCTGACAGATAATGTGATCGTCAGCACTAAGCCCAGATCAAGGTGAGCAGAAACCTGGGCTCTTTTCCACTCTACCATCTTTCCTAATATCACACTCTGATTTCCACCCTACATTTGTCATGGTCGTGTTTTCCAAAGTGCACTCAGTAAAACACCAGCACTATATGCAATTCTGCAGTTAAGTAAGGTTCAACAGACTTTTCTACCTCTGTATTTCTAGGCTAGAGTGGGTGTCTCCAAGAGTAGTGTATTGCAGGCAACATTTCTCAAGCCTATGTGGCCAGGTAATACCTTTCCATGGAGCAGCTCTTCAATCTTGTGTGTGGCATGCACTTTGGGAAATAGTGGGTTAAGACCCTTTAAATCCTTGGTAGTAACAAGAGCGTAAAAACTTGGGAACTGATTCTTAAAATGGTGATTCCCTCTTTTTTCTTCATCACTATAAAAAAAAAAAAAGACATAACTAGATTAAGCTTGGTTTTGAAAATAGGAATAAGTCACCCTACTTTCACAACTTTAAGATGTTCCTTCTTTATCTTTTCCACATCTGTACATCTCCAAGAGTATATTCATAAGGATGCCCATGTATCACTTCAAATATTCTGGCACTGTGATAAATGCTTTGCATATGTCATCTCATTTAATCTTCGCAGAGACTCTTTGAGTTAGCAAATATAATTCCCATGGGAGATATTAGGAAACTAAGGCTCAGAAGGGTTAAGTAACACCTCAGAGTTCTACAGCAAGTAGGTGACTACAGCACTGTTTAAACAGTTACTTTCTAGCTCCCATAGCCTTTGTGTTTAAGCTCTGAAGTGGTGAAATACTTATTTTAGAGAATGAACGTTCACCTTGAATTTACTACCAGGGAGTTTATATCTTATCTTGGATCATCATTCAGCTTAATTCTATGCTGAATGATAAAAGAACATTCTGAAACTGTTTCTGCTGTTTATTTGTCCTTGCCTCCCTCCTCTGACTTTCAGTGAGTGTCACAGGGCTTCTCAGAACATGATCCTAAATGCAGGACCACGTTGTTTTCTGTTTTATGGCTCTATAATCTTTTCTTCTGTAAGTACATTCAGAAATGACTGTGGCTTTTTCTTGAAGCCTCGACATTTTTTAAAAAGTGATTTATTTTGATTGTGCTTTCACCTTATGATTTCAAAATTAAGTTACTTGGTGCAGGTAGTCTTATATTTTCCCCAATAAATGTGTTTATGTCACCTCACAGAGTGAGAAATTTCATTTCCAGGATTTTTTTCCTCTTCTTTCTTCATTTGATTTTTCTGCAGGAGGAGAACTGAATTCTTTGAACTTGTCAGTAAAGGAGAATATGATTGGAACGTCAAAAACCATCGTGATATATTTCGGTAAGAAGAAGCTCTTGTTTGTGTGTGTGTGTGTGTGTGTGTGTGTGTGTGTGTGTGTATTTTTGTTATTTGAACATTCAGCCACATTTTTCTGACAGTCCTAAGAACATAACAGTGATTTTTAAAATGACAAATCTTAGCCTACACTTACAACATCCCGAGATTAGTTGAATAACTAGAGACAAGATTAAAAATGTATTTTTGTCTTATAATTTATTATATTTTTATCTTCTCTCAATAAATCTTTCTTCAAAATAAGAAGAATGAGGTCCGAATTAACTCAGTTCCAAGCATCCATGATTTCTTCTTTTTCTTGGGGGTGGGGAAGAGTACCAACTGGGAGGAAAGGGATTTTTTAACCCTAGATACCATTGTTAGCCAAGCACAAAGAAAAGGAGAGAGTTAATTTTGCTTTTCTTTAGAGACAATAGACTTTGTGGATAGAAAACCAACTGGAATCATTTTGGTGCTGAAAGTAATGAGTCTGTTCTAAACTTTGCATGCATGGGACTTGTTTAAAAAGGTCAGCAGCAAACCACAGCTGTTGCGTGGCACATTCTGCAGCCCTCGAGAAGGTCAGGTACCGTTTCTCTTTACCTCACACCCCGTCTTTGCAGCTCACAGGCCCAGACCTGCTGACTTGTTTTTTTTGCTGTCACTCTGCTGGGGTACTGGGAAAGCTTGTGAGACCGGGGTTAGTGCACAAGCAGGCACCCGCTGGAGTCTCTCCAAGCCAGATCCCTATCACAACCCCCATATCTGCTATGTAAAACATCTGCACCAGTGGAAACACAGGGCTTTGCTCCCCTTCCCTGTGCTGCTCCCATCAGTCCTAGTCTCCCGAGGCCCTCCCACCCAAGGGCCCTCTGCTTCGCCTCTCTCTACTTTAATATTTCTTCATGTTACCTTTACAGACCTTTTTCTTCATCCCTGGGGGTAGAGGGAAGGAGAGAGAAACCTTCCTCTCTTCAAGACTAGCACCTCTACCGTGTCCTCATTCCACAGCCTCCGTCTACCTCGTCCTCCGCCCTGATCCCACTGAATCAATTGCTGACTTTACTTGCATTTTCGAAATCCAGTTTTGTCCCTCATGATGTTTCTAGCCTCGAAAACATGCTTCTACCTCCTCAATCACAACATCACCTCCGAAAGCTTCCCTTCCCGAGGCCGTCTTGGCTTTCTCCTTCCCTCCCTCTTCGCTTCACTTGCACTCCCACGTTCTTGCCAGGGAATTTTTAATGTAACTTTTGATTCTGTGAGCAATACTGTAATAAAGTAGATCGTTACAGATTAACACCCAGCCTTCTTTGCGCTTTACCCCTTCTTACGCGTGTTAACAGCTATCTTTTTGTCACGAGTCTGTTGTGTCTTTCTAGATGATTGCCAACGTATGTACATGTCTGTGTTCCCTTAGGAAAAATACTCTTTAGCATAAAAATAGTTTTGTTCATTTTAACATAGATTATATATTTCATAAGATTACTGACACTGAGAAATGGGAAGAAAGGAGCTAAGGGTGTAGGGAAGATGGGACGGGTAGGGGAAGGGTAAAAAGGGAAAAGAAAATAATGTGAGAGGATGAAAAGATGGAAATAAAGTGGTTGTAGATGGGGAGGGGAGGAGGGGGTGAAGGGAGGGCAGGGACAAGGGGAAAAATGAGAACCAAGACCTGTCATGTGGAGGTACAAGATCCCAACAATGAATGTAAGTGTACTGTATCCCTAAAATGTACCAATAAACTCGATTAAAGCTGAAAAAAAAACATAGATTATATATTTCAATGCCAATCTCTACTTGCTTTTCTACTTAACTGCATGCCTAGTAATTTTTCTCATGTCCATACCTCATCTTTTTCATTGCATAGTAATTCAAAATATGGAGTGACCGCGGAGTATGTATTCATTCTTCTACTGAGGAATTAAGGCTATGAAGCATGATTTCCGCTTTGGAAAGTCACCGATCACCTCCCAGCATCAAATCCTGCAGTCTCTGTTCTCTTCAGCCTTTTGATCACTCGGTAGTCCCCAGCTGCACTGGCCTGGCCTTCCTTAGCTGTCTCTTCAGCCTCACAGTCTGCAAAGCCATGCTCTCCTGGAATTCTCACTTTCTTTCACAATCCTCCTTCCCCTCTTTGCCCTTCGCTAGTCCTTCTCCCTCCCCTCCGTAGGCAGCGGTCCCCTAAGTACCAGTGTTCACTTCTTTTTTCTTTCTTGTTCCTCAGCACCTTCACAACTTGAGCTATCATCTTCTCAAACAACTTTCAGCTTGTTTCTTGGGCCTAGTCTCTCTTCTGAGCGCCACTCCTAAAATGCCAGTGCTCGTTCCGCTCAGTGTTTCCACCTGGTTGTTTCCCTGCAGAGGTTTTTAAGATTTTTGGCAGGAAACCCTAGCAGGAAGAACTCTCTTATTTGGAAACATAGGATACAAAAATAGAGACGCACCCAGCACTCTCCTCTGCCTCTAGATCTGCCCTCCCAGCCTCCACTATTGCATGGTTAGATTCAAACCATGGTGCTCCAAGGGTGGGGCTCACAGGAGCACTTTCTGTACAGAATGTAAAAACAGTAATAAGTCAGCTTGCTTTTTATCATCACCATATGCCAGCAATTCTAAACAAAGTCAGTGATGAACTGCTTCTCCTTGGGGAAAATCTTTTGTTGATATAAATTCTACATCATTGCTGAGGTTACTGTTGGGGATCAAATTAATTGTCATGAAAGCTTCAGGTTAGCACACGTTTATTACTTTCCTTTCATTGAACACATACAGCAATGTAAACTGAAGCTAAGAATGGCCAGGTACACAGTTGGCCCCACAAGGTGGACTCTGACACCCTCTCAAGGGGTAACTTCCTGTTTGAAAGCTTCCTAACTCAGGTGGGTGTAGTTTGTGCCCCCAGCTTTGCAGAACTTCATACCCCTGCTTTTCCCAGTACGTGCAGAATAAATAATGATAGCACCGTGATGGGAAAGATGAAGAAACAGAACTTAAGTTTTTTCTATTCTGTCATTTCATGTGACCATTTATGGCTTTTATTTGAGTTTAAAATTTAAAACAGCGAAACGGGTGCAAGCTGGAACATGCAATATTTTCATTTGGTAAGGGCAAATTTCAAATCCTACATTAAATTTTTCTACAGAATTTGGGTATACTGTATCTTTAAAATGAAAGTTTATACCTTTAGTTTTTTCTAAACTGCAGAACAAAATTGAGAAGATAATCATCACAAGACTGTTACTGAACTGATGTTGGCGTATAGAGGAGAGCCATGTTGAATAAACTGCTGGGAGAATAGGGTAGCCAGGCACCGCATCAGCTCCCACACCCAACACAGAAGGGAAACAGTGGTGCTCTCCTTCTTCTAGATCTTTCAATCACTGCACTGAATGGATTGACACAACCTAACTGTAATTTGGACTAGAATTAAACGATACAAACTCCCTTCCTACCCTCTTGCTCTAGAAAAGAAATGTTACTTCATCCAGAGGCAAGATCTAAAGAAAAACAAATCTGATAAATGCAGGCACCCTTCGGCTGTTCCTTTGTAACCAACCTTCCTTCCTTGCCCTTGCCTTTCCATTTTCCCTGCCCTTCCTGGTTTGAGGCTCTTATAACAATTTATGCTTCCAACTGCTTCCCCTCCTGCCCTCCACTCTCTCCTTCTTCAAAGCATCTTCACATCCTCCACCTAGTTTTCTTCCTAAAGGTGTAACCAGGCCCCACTTGAGTCGCCAACCCGGACTGACTCCCCACCTTGATTGACTTCCCAGGGGCAGTCAGATAGAGGTTTCAGACTCTCCACCCATCCTGCTCTCTTCCTCTTCCATCCTCCTCTGGATAGACTTTCTGCTCCACTGTAGAGTATTCTTTAGAGAGAAGATTTTTCTGACTTTATGGCTTCCCATGTTAGCTCTGGCACTCCCTAAGTGTATAACTATGGGCAAGTTACCTAAACCCTGTGAGCCATAATTTTTAGATCTGTAAAATGGAGATAGTAATAGCTTCCTTGCCTCATATAAAAACTTTGTCTAGTCCTCGCTTCAGCAGCACATATATAATAAAAACTGTCACCCTGAAGTAGCTGCTAAATAAATGCTAGCTGTTAGAAGTATTGTCACCTGAGTCCCTAACAGATACTCAGTAAACTTGTTGATCAACTGACTAAAATGGTATGAATTTGAGAAGTTTCAAATGACCAATCCACTAATACCTAAGTAATTACCCAGCTTCCCATAAGGAAGTAGGGAACCTCACAGAGATTATTTCCTCTCTAGGAGATACTGCGAATCTGGTTTTTTCTCCTCACAGCTTTCACCTCTCGGGCATGAATAGAGCCTACAATGAGAGGTATTGGAGTGGAGTGACCTGGAGTCTGATAGCTTTGGGGTAAACAGAGTCCTGAATCCTTTACTCCCCTCGGGAAAATCTCTCCATCTTTCTGTTGACTTATTTGTAAATAAAAATAATATCACCTACTTCTGAAGGATGTGATGAGGATTCATTTAGCTACAGTTGGGAAAGCACTTCGTACAGAGGAAAGCACACGGTGAGAGGCACTGTGGAGGTACTTGTTTAAGAAGTGCAAAAATCGGGCTGGGGATTTAGCTCAGTGGTTTCACCACCTGCCTGGCAAGCGCAAGGGCCTGAATTCAATCCCCAGTAACTAAAAAATAAAAACAAAAATTTTTAATAAATAAATAAAAATAAGAAGTTCAGAAATGAAGAAGAGACTGATGTGTCTCTGCACAGTGCGTACCATAGGGATGTTTGGAGTTAGATGCATCCTGAGTGCTGATGCTAGTACTGCCTGGTTGTGCTGTGAATGACCTATTGTTATCCGTGACTCTGTCTGGTTCCCTGGAGAAATTTCCTGAGGAAGTCACACAAACCCCACCCCTCAGGAAGAGGCCCCTCTACCGTCTGGGCAGCAGACATGTTTCCTAGGTGAGATCCAGCAGGGTATAAAAATGTTAACACCTGACAGCAGGAATAATCCCTCTGACCTCTAACAGCACACCCCTTTCTTCCAAAAGCAGTCAGCCAAGATGTGACTTCCCAGCTCAAGTCCTGCGTTACTTTTCATCACATACTGCTGCTTTTGGTGCAAAGAAAGCAGACCTGGGACGAAGAGTGTCTTACTTTCCTCCTTCCCATTGCACTGAATTATAAGCTATCTACAATTTGAATTATCCCCTGTGTGTTTCCAAGGTTCACTGTGAGTCCTTGCTAAATTTGTTCCTCAAAAATCTGACTCAGATCATTTCTGTGCTTTCTTATGTGATCAAATTAATGAGAGCTGCAGCTGAGTATGTTTCTTCTTCATAATGCTTATAAAACATTCTGGGAGCCAGGTAGTAAACTGGAGGGAAATGGAGCGGCTCTCCCCCGTAAATCTTTGCTCTGCGGAGCCCATGAACATGAAGGCGCTCCTTGGTGATGTGTGCCTCGCCTCTTTGATGTGGGTTTTCTTCCTTTCCCATCAATCAGCGATAGGTCAGTAAATAGATTCATCAGCCATGTATATAATGTTCTATACGGATTCTCCTGCTTATAGTTTTTTTTTTAATCACATTGTCCATTATAAATTATTTAAACAGAGCTTGCTTGCCTCAGGTATGGAGGAAGTTATGCTTTGCCTTCCTTGATTTGCCGCTGACAAAACAAAAGGGCCACCAGAGGCTGTGTGAGAGCTTTGTCTTCCGAAGCAGAGTGGCCGCATGATGGAGATGCCCAACACGGGGACTGTAAACAGTGCTGCCCCTGTTGAGGGAAAGAAGACGTGAGCGAGCAGCGTTGGCCTCATTTCCATTTTATTTATTTATGTATCTGGGACGGGGTTTGTTTAAAAATGCAACAAAAGATTATTCAGGCTGTTTTGTTGGGTTCTGTTTTTCAGATCAATGTTAATGACAGCCTGTGACCTTGGAGCCGTGACCAAACCGTGGGAGATCTCGAGACAGGCAAGTGGTGATTAATGGCAGGGCTCGGCCGAGGGAGGGCTGGGGGAGGGGATATTCCCAGAGCCCGGGCTGCCGGCACGGAAACCCTCCTCAATTTGCATCAGTATTAACGCGGGGTAAAAGAACAGCGCCAGGCTCAGCCACGACGTAGTTTATTGCAGGCAGGGCCTTTTCTTCATCGTGCCTTCACTGAGCAGTAGTATTTCTGACAATGAGGTTTTTGTAATGTACTAAATCTGAATAATACTTTGATCATTTTTAAGGCAAGCATCCCAAAGGCAGTGTTTTTGAATAGTTAATTATGTCTTAGCACAAGGTTCTGGTTTTCATATCTGAAAAAATGAAAGGAAATTCTGTCTTTTCACTACAAATACAAAACAGATATCAGAGGGCTCTGCGGCCAAAGTACGAAGTAACAAATTTAATTTAACCCCCCCCCAATTAGGCCTTTTACACCTGTGTGTTTATTGCTGCCCCCAACATTAGTTTTATAGCAACAATAGTTTTCAATCAAGTATCTCACTCAAGATCCTTGATTATTGATAGTTTTTAGGGGTTAATAACACTAAATTTTCTCTCATGTAATTTATAATCAGCTTTATTGGTACATTTTAGGTACACAGCATAATAACATTCATCATTGGAAATTTGTACCTTTATGTAATCTATCTTGGTTTTTATTTATGAGAAATCTCACTGTATAGTCCTGGCCAGTCTTGAATTCCTGGGCTCAGGAGACCCTCCTACCTCGGTCTCCCGAGTACTGAGACGAGCTGTAGGCTCTTTAAGTTTCAGGAGGCACCTACTATATGCACTGTGGGTTCAAAAACAAGTTGGCACCTTAATTCTTAACATCTTAGGAAAGATGTCAATAAATAACTGCTTTGTGCTTTGTGTATATTATCTCATTTGATCCTTTAAAAAGAATCCTCAGGCTGGGGATTTAGCTTAATGGTTCCACCACCTGCCTCCCAAGTGCAAGGTCCTGAGTTCAATCCCGGATACCAAAAAAAAACCTCTAAGGTAGGTATAGCTACTGTGGTAGACTGAAGAATGGCCATGCAAAAGTATCACGTCCTAATCCCTGAATCCTGTAAACATTACCTTAGGAGGAAAGGGTGTCTTTATAAGTATGATTAAAGCAAGGCTCTCACAGATTGTCCTGGATTATACACACAGTCCTAAATCCAATTATAAGTGCCCTTAGAGATTGACCAGAAGGCGATCACACATTCAGAAAAGGAGACTGTGATGCAAAGATAAGGCAGAGATTGGACTGATGTGGCCCCAAGACAGGGAATACCAACAGCCATCAGAAACTGTAGGAGGCAAGGAGCACAATTTCTCCCAGAGCCTCCAGAGGGTGCACAGCCCCACCAACTCCATATTTGTCCTGGCCCTCAGTTATGATAGAATAAATTCCTGTTGTCTTAGCCAAGTTTGTGATACTTTGGGGTGGTTTTAGGAAATGAAAACAGTTATCATCCTGTCTCACAGGTACGAAAGATGAGGCTTAAACAAGCTAAGTACCCTGAGGTCCTCTAGCTACTAGGTGATGGAGCTAAGACTATAACCTAGCAGATTAGGTGCCAAGCTTCCATTCATTTCCTTTTTTGGGGGGGTACTGGGGATTGAACTCCGGTCTTTGCGCTTGCAAGGCGGCCACCAAACCACTGAGCTAAATCCCCAGCCTGCAAGCTTCCATTCTTAATAATGTTTTATGCTTTCCTACATGGGATGCATCAATCAGCATTTTTAAATGATGCAAATGTATCCACAAAATACTATGTTAACACTAGACCCAAAACTTCAGTGGTTTAAAACAGCAGATTAATTGTTTATGAAGCTGTGCATCTAGGGTGAGCAGGCCCTTCTTTATTCTCATTTTGGACTGGGCCGGTGGAGCAGACCCTCTCTGGATCATTCTGGCAGAGGCCTTGGAAAGTCTTGCACTGACAATTCAATGTCCCCTTCAACAATTCATTGGTCTGAACTAGTCATGACCCCACTCAAGTGAAGCACTGAATAACCCTTCATGCCCCCAGCAAGCAGAAAGCCAGGGATACTTGGTGAAGGCTTCACTGCCACAGTTTGGCCTTCTAATCACCAAACCTGTTCTCCATGATTCTTACAGGCAAATCATATTCACTCTTTATCAAAGGAAGACAGCCCCCAAATTTTACATCCGTTATAGCATCAGACTCAAAACCCAGAATGCCTAGCTGCTATGTGCCCATCTGGACAATAGGTCTGAATGCAAAATAAATACCTACGCATACCCAAAATAGTGACTAACGCCCACCCAAAACACAAAGTACCCATTACATTGCTCTCAGTCGGAAGGCAGAGATGAATGACATTTGGTAGGTAGTGGTCCATGGCAGCTCCAAAACCCCACCAGCATTCACTATGAGGACCCTTCACACTGTGGTGGGCAAGATGCTCTGGGAGGTGCTTCCCAGAGCATTATTTTCTGGGGCCGTTAGATCCTCCCTGGGAAATGATTCCTCTGCTGTCATCTTCCTTGGCATTATCTGAAGGTCAAGCAGCTTTCTTAGACTGCTGCTCACCCAAAGAAGGCTGAGAGGCCAAGACTTACTTTGCATAGTCACAGGCTGGTGTTTTCTTTAGCTTTAAAATACTCTTCAATGCCATTCAGCTCTCTCTGTCTCTGATTGTACTCATTGCTGTATGCCAATAACCAGAGCCACAGTTCTCTTCTATGAAAACACCTCAGATTGTCTATATTTCTTTGCTTCCTTACATTCAGGAATTAAGAAATATAGTAAGCATATTTCCTTCCTTCTTTCTCTTTGTTTTCTTTTTTGTTTGTTTTTTGCACAACTTAATTCTAGAAGCATGTATTGCACAGGCTTCAGTAAGAAACCCATGTCATTAAATCATCTCTCTGAGCCATTTTTGCCAGTTCTTTAAAAATATGCTGTGCAGGGCTGGGGATTTAGCTCAGTGGTCCCACCACCTGCCTCATAAGTGCAAGGACCTGAGTTCAATTCCCAGTACAAAAAAAAAAAAAAAAAAAAAAA